ACCATTCGACAGGAACTCCTCTACAACTCTTGCCAAGGAGCTACCAAAAAATTCCTTAAGCTAACTGAGAGGGAACGAAAATACGGTGATTTAAAAAAATACTGTTCTAATTACCCCATCCTACTCTAAGTTACATTCATAAATATTCAAAATATCAATAAAAGGTAATGCTAAATTCGATAAAATCTCGTCAATCGTTTTATCTTGTTTATAATGCTTAAAAAATTTCCCAAGTTCTTCTTCTAATAACGTTTTAATCGAAATATTTTCACTGAAACAAATCTTGAGCTTTTTTCCAAGTCGTTGATAAATTTTATGCATGAAAAGACAAAAATTTAATTCTTTGACAGAGTTCACCAGATATAATTTCTTTGCTATAAGAATACGAATATCATCGTCAAGATTTTTGATATCAGAAAATAATTGATCGAATATTCTCAATGAAACATTCTGTTGTTCATTCAATTCTTGTTGCTTATTGATCTTAATATTTTTTTTTTAAATAACTGATGGTTTTTTCCATGTTTGACAGATATTGATCAATCGCATCTTTTATTTCGCGCATTTCTGCTGACGAGTCTGATGATATCATTTGTCGTAAACTAACTAAAATTTTACCAATTTTTTCTGTGAATTCTGTTTCTTTTAATTTCTCTGACGAATCTCTACAAATGGCATCGACTTCAGATAATTTCTCATCTGAACCTGCTAGAAAATGTTCGAACTTCATCAGATCTATCAAACTTATATAAAATTTATATGCTTTTTCAACGTCAGCTGCTGGTTCTGAAATTAAACTTGTACATCGATTCAACATTGATAAAAACTTATTTAAGAAATTATCTCTTTGCAATATTCTGTTCTTGTCTTTCAACTTATAACTTTGTTTTCTTATAAATAAAAACTATTTTTAAAAACTAAACAGTATTGTTTGTTGTTTTTAATAAAATATTTTCTATTAAATGAAGAATTTTTTCGATTGTTTCATTATTGAATTCATTGACATAATCTCCTGTCCATCGAAGAAATTCTATTATTTTCTCCTCTTTTAATAAATCCTTGATATCTTTCGAAGTAGAAAGATTTCGAAAAATGTCTTCAACTAAATTTGGATCATATAATGTATTAAAAGCATCTATTTGTTGTTCGAGAGTAAATTCAGTTTTTTTGTCATAGTTTTTCTTAGTTTGGAAAGTTAATAATTGATGCAAATCTTTCGAATGATAGATGTTATCTAACAATTGATTTCTATCAGGAGTACGGAATATCTTTATCTTCAGTTTTTCAATGAAATATGAAAAATCAAAAAACATCTCAGTAAGATAAGAACGAGGATATTGAATAAATATTTCCTCTATCTGTACGATTTGTTTTGTTAAACTATCAAATTGATTAGCATCGATATTCATTAAACTTAAATTATTTTGAAAAATAAAAATAAAATCATCGATCATATCTAATTGTTCGACATTAGTGAGTAACTGCTGAAAACTATTCGATTGTGTTGGATTAAAAAACGATAACTTCGAAAATATTTGAAAAATTTTCAATAGATTAATTGGCGAACTATTATGACTAAATTCCTCCATAAATTTCGATAAATTTTTATCAAAATCATAATGAGGAAATTCTTTTAATAATGATGTTAGTTTCAATTCGTTATCCAGTTGTTCAAGTTGATGATCATCCGAAGTAGATTGGAATGATTTAAAAGTGTAGCTTTCAATTCTTTTTCATTTTCTAAACAATCTAATGTTTTCCTAATCCATATTAACCAATATTGTCTTTGATATTCTCTCTGCATTCCTTTACAAAAATCGATTAATAAATCTAAAGTAATAGTATTTTCTAACGATTGAAATCCAGGTAAAATTTTGTAGAATGCTTGTTTTTGTTCCTTGATAGATCGTAAATTTTTCCAAGTATAATTTCCTTGTTGTAAATTATAAAGATAAATATTCGTAAAATTCGAAATATTTTCTTTTAAAACTATTTCTTCGAGTGAATTTTGACAACGATTTTTTTCTAATTCGAGAAGAAGATAACTTCCAGTTTGTAACAGAATTTCTTCATTAGGTTTAGAATTAAATTCTTTAATTATTTGAATATTATTTTCAATTGGAAATTCTTTCCATTCGGGTTCAGAGGAAAAATTCTCATGAAGAATTTGAATATTTTGTCTAGCTGAGATCGATTTGGGAAGTTCTTCTCGTCGTATATCAATAAGTACTTCTGTACGTCTTTGTGATGCCATAAGACGTTGGTTAAAACGTTGTTCATTAAGAATTCGATTAATTGTACTTCTCATCTTTGCTATTTCAACATTTCGAACATCTAAACCTGTTCCTAATTGATGAACATCGATTCTTTGAATTTCATCTTGTAATTGTTGAGAAATTATTTGATATTGTTGTAAAAATTCATTATATTGACTTAAAATTTCTTCTCCTAAGAATTTTATTCCAATACTCATTTGATCTGTATTGATTTTTTCGAATTGAAGTCGTTGATTTTCGCTCTAAATCGCTTCAGCAAATTTTTCTTTTAAAATTAAAATTTGTTTAGCATTATGTTCAATATCAGGAAGTGTATGGACTTCATACGGAGGTAAACCTTCTAATCGAGCCATTTTTCCTAAGAATTCATTTAAATTTGCTGCTAACCAAGGTTGATAAGGCGTTGATTTTTGTGGATTACAATATGTGTCAAAAAATTGTGAAGTTACTTGAAAAGTATCTTCATGATTAATCGCATGAGTTTTCTGTACAATTTCTTAATTTTTATGTTTCTTAGTTCTATTAGCTCCTTTTTGCGCTTCTCTATCATTATATTTGCTTTTAAATCTAGGATCATTATTATCCTCAATTTCAAATATACGCATATTATACTCTTCTAATAGTTTTTTCTCGTTTAAATAACGTCTTTCGGAGGAATACAGACGACCTCCTTTTAAGTCGGTGTTGTTTCGACTTGTAACTGCAGGTTTAAAGAGATTTATCCAATTGCTTATAGCTACATAATCGAGACCATCTTTACCATGTTTGCCAGCTTTACCTGGCTGTCCTGACTGACCATCACCACTTCCTGATTTTCCTGGTGAACTTTTATATGAAATCTCCTCTGAAATATCATCTAACGCAACAAGTTTTACTAATCCAGGATGACCTCCATTACCACGATATCCTCCTGTAGAGAGAATAGTTTACAGCTGTTTTATGTATCTTCCAACGATTAAAAGCTCGATTTCTTTTCGCCATTTGTTTATGAGTCATCTTAGAAAGTTCTACATTCGGCTTTTTGGTTAAACTAACTCGCTTCTGCGGAACATGTTCGCCTAAGCATCCGTCAAAATGAGACTGCCATATGGCAACCACCTCGGATGGATCAGTCGCAAGAAAGAAGGTCTCTTGTATGTTATCTAAAGCATTGTACAGAGCGGGAAGATCGCATTTAGAAAAAGCTTTTACATATCTGTGTTTTGCTTGTGAAGTAGTAATATTAATGTCAAAGGAAAAGATCAGAGTGAAGTGAATAGA